CCCCCCCCCCCCCCCACCCCCACCCCCAGCCCCGTCATCTGCTGCACCGGCCGCTCGCCCTCCCGCGTTAGGTGCGGCTGCAGCTGTGGGACACGGCAGGTCAGGAGCGGTTCAGGAGTTTGATCCCTAGCTACATTCGCGACTCCACTGTGGCAGTTGTTGTTTTTGATATTACAAGTGAGTGTGGACGCCGCCTCTTCGCCTTTCCTGTACCATCATCTGCTCACAGTCACCGCAGCGCGCTCTCGTTTATAACGGACAGTCCTACCCGACACACAGGCACTACAATTGGATCTCCTCTTCCAAAACTCTATAAGGCACATGAGCCAATAATACAACAATGATCTAACAGTGTTTCCCATGTTTACTTGTTGTGCTTTCAGGACCATGCTTTTGTAGGTGCGCCCCCTAGTGGAAATCAGCATCAGCCAGTGCAATCAATTTTGTCGCTGAATGACTGTCATAAGGGATAAGCCTCCTGGAGAATATTGATAGGCTATTGACACGGGTCACTGTGCAGCACTGCAAGGCCCACTATGTGCAAGCTCCCTAGATGTTCAGCACTGTCTGGAAGTGTTTGACCAATACGGATATTACGAGTGAGGAATGGGGATGAGGATGGGCTCGGTGCATACCTAGTTTGGGGAAGCCCATTCCCCACCCCGCTGTTATACGTCACAGAGGGGTGGGGAATGCCCCTGCCGCCACTGATTGGGCACAAGGGGGGGGTCACGGTCAGAGTTTTCAACACGCTTGGGGGGAACTGGGTTTGCACCAAGCCCATCCTCATCTCTAGTGAGGAGTATAGCTGGGTGTGCCTGAGGGCCTTCACATGGACACAGAGAGTTTGTAAAATCTTCAAGAAGCATCAGACTTCCGGTGAACCTCTGACACACCAGCTGAAGTCATCCCAAGTCTGATGCCTCTTGCTGTATTCTCAAACCGTCTCTTGAGTGTGCATAACTGTGCGCGATAGTTCACGGAAGCCAGAATATTAGAGGGCTTATAGGAAGGAAGTCAAGGGTATGGAAGGAGGAAATGGAAGACATTGCGTGGGTAAGCCTGCACAATTGTGATAGTTTAGGTCTTTTGGACTCGTTATAAGCCGTGCACGCCACTAGTCTTCCTTCATGTGACATCCTAATATATATCATAGGAGATGAGGGATGACATTTGTTACACATGGAGAGAGCTGATCATGGTATACAGTATGCCACTCATTGTGGTGCCTGCCATAGTAAGGTCTATATTAGGGATGTACCGATACCAGTATCGGTATCGGTGTAAATAGCGAGTATTTGGGCGAGTGCCTGTACTCGCCCAAATGCTCCGATACCTTCCCCGATACCGGAACTTCCGGTCAGAGGAAGATTTCCTCTGACCGGCAGTGCCGTAGGGGAACATGGAGCCTGCTTCCCGTGCGATCAGGAAGCTGGGCGGCGAGTAATGACCCGCCTCCCAGCTTCCCGATTGGCCAAACAGCCGGCTCGATGCAGATTGGCTGGGAAGCCGGTTTCCTGGTCAATCACAATCAAGACGGCCAAACAACATGAAGCCGGCTTCCCGGGCAATCGGGAAGCTGGAAGGCATTTGATTTGCCTGGGAAGCCGGCTCCATGCCAGCGGAAGCACTGGTATCGGTGCTCTGTATCGGCAAGTACCGAAAGGAAAATATCGGTACTCCTTACCGAAAAAACTATATCGGTGCATCCCTAGTCTATATAATGGCCAGGTATAATGGGCCGCTTGCCTAAGGAGCAGTTCTTGATGCCCATAGCAAACAGTGGCTACCATACATTGTCCCATACGGCCATGAAGAGAGCCAGCGGGCGACACATAGAGGCATCCCATTGGTCACTGAAGCTCAGCCAGTCAGGTCATAAAGCAGCTACAACATTCCTGAGACTTTAATCCCCGGCTGCCATTTTGTGTCTGAACAAATGTTTTGGATTTGCTTGAAATTGTCTCGCCCCAGCGAATGGCTTATCCCCTTTGTGTGGGTAACAGGTCCACTTCATGCAGCGTCCTTCACAAAGCATCGTCCAACTTGCCGCCATAGTCCGTTATAAGCGGAGAGCCGTGTGTGCATGTCACGTATGCTCGCTCTGTGTTTATATGTGTCTTGTGAACTGTGCATGTCTCATTGTGGCGCTCGTGACGTGGCTAAGTCTGTGCTGGGTGCTGGCTCTGTGATGTAGCTGTGCTTGGCAACAGTATGATGGATATTAATGGTGATTATGATGGATAATGTGGTAATGTTTTGTATTTTATTCCTCCGAAAGTTAAACTCCAGAACAATAGGATGGTAGTTATCACCTTCTCTGTGTCCCGTGTTCTTTCTCTGTAGTATTCCTTTTTCTTTTCTTTCTTCCTCTCCTCCTTTTTTTTTTTGCCATTTTTTTTTTTTCCT